GGTAGTTATCAATATGTATGTTCCTATTACCATTTTCTTAATTGTTTGGGGTTTGTTATTGTAAGTCTTTTCCTTCTCTTGTGTTTCCTGCCTAAAGAAGTTCCTTTAGTATTTGTTGTAAAGCTGGTTTGGTGGTGCTGAATTCTCTTAGCTTTTGCTTGTCTGTAGAAGTTTTAATTTCTCCGTGGAACCTGAATGACATCCTTGCTGGGTAATCTTGGTTGTAGGTTTTTCCCTTTCATCACTTTAAATATGCCCTTCCACTCCCTTCTGGCTTGCAGAGTTTCTGCTGAAAGATTACCTGTTAAACTTATAGGGATTCCCTGTATTTTATTTGTTGTTTTTCCCTTGCTGCTTTTAATATTTTTTCTTTGTATTTAATTTTTGATAGTTTGATTAATATGTGTCTTGGCATGTTTCTCCTTGGATTTATCCTGTATAGGACTCTCTGCCCTTCTGGACTTGACTATTTCCTTTCCTATATTAGGGAAGGAATATAGGAAATAATCTCTTCAAATATTTTCTCAGTCCCTTTCTTTTTTTCTTCTCCTTCTGGGACCCCTACAATTCTCATGTTGGTGTGTTTAATGTTGTCTCAGAGGTCTCTGAGACTGTCCTCAATTCTTTTCATTCTTTTTTCTTTTTTCTGCTCTGTGGTAGTTATCTCCACTATTTTACCTTCCAGGTCACTTATCCGTTCTTCTGCCTCAGTTATTCTGCTATTGGTTCCTTACAGAGAATTTTTAATTTCATTTATTGTGTTGTTCATCATTGTTTGTTTAGTCTTTAGTTCTTCTAGGTCCTTGTTAAACGTTTCTTGTATTTTCTCCATTCTATTTCCACGATTTTGGATCATCTTTACTATTATTACTCTGAATTCTTTTTCAGGTAGACTGCCTATTTCCTCTTCATTTGTTTGATGCGGTGGGTTTTTACCTTGCTCCTTCATCTGCTGTGTATTTCTCTGTCTTCTCATTTTGCTTAATTTATTGTGTTTGGAGTCTCCTTTTCACAGGCTGCAGGTTCGTAGTTCGCATTGTTTTTGGTGTCTCCCCCCAGTGGGTAAGTTTGGTTCAGTGGGTTGTGTAGGCTTCCTGGTGGAGGCGACTAGTGACTGTGTTTTGGTGGATAATGCTGGATCTTGTTTTTCTGGTGGGCAGGACCGCATCCGGTGGTGTGTTTTAGGGTGTCTGTGAACTTAGTATGATTTTAGGCATCCTCTCTGCTAATGGGTGGGGTTGTGTTCCTGTCTTGCTAGTTGTTTGGAATGGAGTGTCCAGCACAGTATCTTGCTGGTTGTTGAGTGGAGCTGGGTCTTAGTGTTGCGATGGAGATCTCTGGGAGAGCTTTCGCTGTTCGATATTTCATGGAGCCGGGAGGTCTCTGGTGGACCAATGTCCTGAACTCGGCTCTCCCACCTCAGGGGCTCAGGCCTGACTCCTGGCCGGAGCACCAAGACCCTGTAAGCCACTCGGCTGCTAATGCTGGAGGGTATCCTGCAGAGGCGGGGGGTGGCTAGGGCTCGGCTGGGGCTCACGGCCAGGACAAGGATCTGGGAGCAGAAGTTCTCTGTTATTCTTTGAATATTAGATGTAGTGCAGATATACGTTGTGATTGTAAAACGTAGAGTCATTTGCTTTAATAGTTCTCTGAATGTCTTTGGAATTTGACAAGCTTTCCCAGAACACAAGCCTGAAGAGAAAGCCAGTAATAGCCTGCATGTTAAACTGAACTCTCAAGAACTAATTTGGGGCCCACTTTAGCATAGACTAATAGATGATCAACGCCTTAGAGTTCTATTGTATTACCTAGGACAGGGTCACATTTGTTTTAATTACGACAGGAAACATTTTTTGAATGTATGTAGCCTTCGGAAAAAAAAAAAAAGTCTCAGAATTACCTGTCCCTCAACAATGTAACTTCCAAAAGTAACATATTTTGATTGCAAAATGTCTACTTAGGGACAGAATTAGCTGAGTTACTATATGAGATTGTCACCTATTTAGATAGTTAAATGTTGGCATATAGGATCATATATTTTTAAAATATGACCTTAATGTTAGTTAAACTCTTGCTTCTCTCTGAAAGCAGTTAGAGAGCATTGCCAGTAATTGATTCGAGTCATTCCAATTTTGTTAACAGTGCTTCTGTATCATCATGATATCTATATATAAACACAGGTTTGTTTCATTTTTGAATGGGTTGATTTCTACTCAGAAGAATAGAAATTACCATCCATGCTTTGACCTACTGAAAGTAGTCTTTATGGTTCCTCAAAGTTGTTCCAGCTAATCCAGACTTTAGAAATGTTATTTGGAAGCATAAGCATTAATACCATGGGGTAGTATATAGTAATATGGCAAAGAGAACTCAGAACAATATGCTTAGTATCAAAAATATTGAGAGAGTGGATTAGGGGGAAATTTTTATCTTTGCTTTCTTTACAGCTCTGCCATGAAGTAAAGCTTCGGAGGAAAATCAACATGAGTGAACGTGCGATTATTGATCTTGATCGTGAAAAGGCCATTCAAGACAAAATGATGGAATCTTCTCCAAATTATCCCAATTCAAGACAATGTGAATTTACAGGGATGAATCACAGGGATGGTCTGGGGAAGAAAGGTAAAACACAGCAGCGCTTACTCAGTGAAAGGAATCAAATGTGTAAGGAACAAAAAACAATCAAAAAATCAAAAGTAGGGTTAATGGATTCTGTGGCTGCAGACAACCAAAAGGAATGTGAGACCCCGCCTGACCTGAGGACTTCTGAGGAAGAGAACAAGAGGTGCTCTGGTGCCCTCAACACAGTAAGTAAGCCAGGATTGGCCTAGAACTGTTTCTAAAGACATATTTACATTTCAAAGGGCTAACATGCTATTGCTTATATGTATAAAGGCTCTTGAAGAACTTGCCAAAGTTAGTGAAGAATTATGCAACTTTCAAGAGGAAATTCGAAAGCGTTCTAACCACAGAAGGTAGGCTGGTACATCTATGATGATTTTTATGTTGGAAAATCAAAAAGAATGTTGTTTTTAGTTAATGAATCCAAACTTCCTTTAGCATCTAACACTTTGTTAGTGAGAATTAATAATGCTGTTAAAATACGTTATCTTAGGAGATAAAAACTTAAATTGTATGTTTCTCTGTTCACTAATTCTTAAAGCAAATCTTCTAGTTCTCTTTGTAGTTTGACTCTTAGGCGTACTTTACTTTTTTGGTGTTTAGTGAAATACTAACCGTAATAACTTAACAAGTATACTCCAATGGAGTTCTTTTTTATTTTGAGTATTTGGCCAGTGGAAGAGTATACTGGGTTAATCTAGTTAAATACATCTTTAAACTATGTCAAATTTAACAATGGTGTTTTAATTATATAATGATGTTCTACTGAAACATTTTGAGCCATTTATTTTTCTACATTTATTATATATATAATGGAAGCATTCATAATTTTCAGAATAACATATTATAAATATGTACACACATACATATTTATACAGTGCTGTAAAACATGCTCTTTCAGTTCAGAAGCACCCTTATAACTGTAAGGGTAGGTTTTAGCCAAATTGAAAAATAAATTGGAATTCTCTACAAGTTAAGTAAAGATGGATTGTTCTAAGATCACCATTGATCTCCTAGTGGGGCAGTATACTTCTCTTAGAAGCTATAGGAATGTGGACCCTTATTTTTCTTTAGCTTTTTGGAAGCTCAGAGAGAATTTTTGTACTGACTTACAACAGATTTTCTTACCCAACCATGATTTTTACATAATTTTGCCTTCCACTTTTCCACTGAGCTTTTGCCTACTACTCTCTGCTAATGGGTATTTGTCTGCACTTTATTGTAAGCTATCTCGTAATATAAGTTGAAGAGATATAAATGTGATTTATATGTATCAATATGATTAATTAATGTTAATTTGTGAACCCACATTCTTGCAATATTTAGGTTTTTGTTTCAATAATTCTTACTTGCCAATTTGTTTTTACAAACCACACCTGGTATAAAGTTCTCACTGCCACTTATTGCCTTTCGAGAAAAGCTCAAAATCCTTAGTATGTAATTCAAAGTCATTACAGTTTGACCTAATATTTCTCTTTTATTTGCCGTCATCTTTCCCACTTTTTTATATTCCATCCACACCAGAGTACTCACTGTTCCTTGAATAGCCACACTATTTGTACTGCAGCTCTCTTTTGCTTATATGTCCTTTACTCATAAAATTTAAAAAAAGATGATCACTTTTCTTTTATGCCCAAATAACACCTTCCATTTGGTATTGTTCATGTTTGTTTGCGCTTTGATTCAGATTTCTGTCACACTACTTAGAATGTTATTTCAAATTCAAGGGGAGGAGTTTGAGCTCAGAAGATGTTATAAATAGGAATTCAGTAGGCAAAGTGGATATAAGGAAATGGCAAGAGAAAACCTATAGAAGTGGGAACGCCAATAGCAGACACCCAAGAGACTACACACAGTCGAGTCTGAGTGTAGGTGAAGTTTAGGTAATAGAAAAAAATGAGAGATACAGTTAAAAAGGTAGCTTGGGTCAGACTATGTATATAGTGTTGAATACAACACTGAGAGGTGGGCTTTATGCTGCAGTAGGGACTTGAAGTTTTGTACTATGGGATTTATATAAAAATAATGTTTAAGGAAGTTGTGACTCCTTTTCCTATAACAGAATCCATTGCTTTAGCTCCAGTGTCTTTTAAGAGTTTATCGTAGGGCTTCCCTGGTGGCGCAGTGGTTGAGAGTCCGCCTGCCGATGCAGGGGACGCGGGTTCGTGCCCCGGTCCGGGAAGATCCCACATGCCGCGGAGCGGCTGGGCCCGTGAGCCATGGCCGCTGAGCCTGCGTGTCCGGAGCCTGTGCTCCACAAAGGGAGAGGCCACAACAGTGAGAGGCCCGCGTACTGCAAAAAAAAAAAAAAAAAAAAAAGCTTAGCATAAATAAAGTCATCACTAATATACCCTGTTTTATAATTGTCTAGGATGAAGTCAGATTCTTTTCTCCAGGAAACACCAGTTGTAACTAATATGCCTTATGGAGATCACACAATTAACAACAACCAGTGCATTACTCCAACCAGTTTAGAAAAAGAGAAAAAGAAAAATAGAAAGAATCTGAGCTGTACTGATGTTTTCCAAAACAATTCTAAGAAAAAAGGTGGAATTGATAAAACTGATCTGCAAAGAAATGAAACCCCACCAGTTCCTCCTCCAAGAAGTACATCTCGAAATTTTCCCAGCTCATGTTCTGCACAAGCCCATGAAAGTTTGAAGGAAAGTTCAGACCACAATGGCTGGGTGGCCCAAGAAGGTCAAGGCAAAAAGAACTGCAACCCTCATTTCCTGTGGAGGCACGACGAGATGCCTACGCTGTGTCTAAATGAAAGGAAGACTTTGAAAGATGGTATCACAGTTTCTTCTTTGGCACCAGAAACCAAAATAGATAAAAAGCCTTCATGTAATGAAAATGTTGGACTTACCGTGTGGTCATGCGACACTGGGATTGGTGCAAAAAATAGCCCCTCTACACCATGGTTCCAGAAAGCCTGCTCTATTCCCAATAAGCCAAAATATGAAAAGGTGATTCCAGATCACCCTGCTAAATGTCATCCTGATCTTCACATAAGCAATGTCTGTAGCTCCTTGGTGACACAGAGCAGCAGCCCGCTGAGAAGTTTCAGTTGTGGCTTTGAAAGGACTACTAGGAATGAAAAGCTGGCAGCAAAGACTGATGAATTTAACAGAATCGTATTTAGAACAAATAGAAATTGTCATGCAGTACAGCAAAGTCAAAGCTACTCAGAACCACCTGAAGATCTTCAGCCCTCTGATACTTCAATTTCTTGCACGGATAACATCTCAGAAAGTGACAGTGTTTCTGACATTCTGAAAACCAGTGCCCCCATGCCTGTGCCCAGGGAAAATGTGCATGATAATTCCACCAAAAAACCCACAACAGGCCTATTCAGACAAATGCAGGAACACATAAGCCCTAGCAGTTACCGGAATATGCTCCACGAGCATGACTGGAGACCAAGTAACTTGTCTGGCCGACCAAGGTCAGCTGATCCCAGGTCAAATTATGGTGTGGTGGAAAAGCTGCTGAAAACCTATGAGACATCAGCGGGGTCCGCATTGCAAAATTCTAAATGCTTCCAGGCTAATTGGACCAAATGTAATTCTGAGGTCAGTGGTGGAGCCACATTAAGTCAGCATTTTAAAAAGCTCCAAATAGAACAAGAGCTTCAGCAAAAGCCAGCTATGTGTGGAGCACAGCAAGTGAGGCAAGGAGCAGATCGGAAAAAGGTAACTGAGGTGAGAAAGAAATTTAACATATTTTGGTAGAACTGCATCCATATTTAGCAATAGCTCAGAGTTCAGTCAGTTGCCCATTCATGTAAATAGAACGTAGGCACGTGTTTTGACATCTTCTTAGTTCCTTGACCCTTCATTTGTGAATAAATATAAACCTTAGAGTTGTAACTCAACATGAACTTTTAAAAGCATAGTTTTTAAGTCTGGGTTTAGCACATTATAACTTTTATTTAAATTCTGAAATGGCACAACACAATCTAATAAATTAAATTCTTAAGAACCTCAAAAAGATCAAATGTTTGCTGTGTTTCTTTCTTGAAAAAACATTCTGAATGTTCATCTGTTCATTTATAGAATCTTATCCTGTTAAAGTGTTTATATTTTTAAAAGTACGTGGGAGGTATTTATAAATAACTTGTACTTTTCGGTTATTAGCTATGGTTGGTTCAGTCATTCCCAGAATTTGATTCATGTTCTTCCTCAGGGGATTAGTCACATGAATATGAGTTTGTGAAAAAAAATCATTTAAAATAGTGCCTTATGCAGTTCTCTTATTGTGGAGCTAAAAGGCAGTATATGAAAAGAAAAATGATAGTATAGCGTAAAAAAAATTAAGGTCATTATTATTTGTATAAATTCTTTGTGTGGAAATTGCCTGCCCCCCCCAAAAATGGGTATTTAAATAAACTGTTATCCTTTCTTTATTCCAGTTTGCTTGCAAAAGAGTATAATTTTAGAGGAGAAAAAGAGGTTGAAGAGATTTGTGTTTACAATGAAGAGCTATCCATCAGCACATTTTATGCATAATTTATAAAAAGTTACAAGGTGACATACTGTTATAATTAGCCAATGCTTTGAAAATCCTGGTTTTACATAGTGCGATGTATATGCACCATTGTTTTAAACGAGGCAGATTGCCTCCTTCTTGTGTAAGAAATTATTTTTATGAGGCTTTCAAGCCCTACAAAAGTATCAGTTTACATATAGTTTATCAGAAATTTTGCCTGTTTGCCCAAAGTACAAATAATTAATCCTGCTTTTCTATTTCTGTTTTTTTTAGTTGAGCCCATAAATACCTGTAAGGTCCTGTGGCTTCAGATGGGAAATGAAAGCACATATACAATCATCCGCCAAAATTCTCATGAACAAATATTACTAAATATCTCCTATTTTTGTACTGATAGGAGGTTTGGGAAGGGTCCTCTGCTGTCGATCGTTAAGAGTAGTTCTCCATCCCTCCCCCCCAGGAACAGGTTTACAAAAATAAGACTCCAAGGAGAGAAAAAGCAAATACAGGTTACTTTCATAGAAATAAAGGTTGTCCTTACTGCCCGTCTCAGGTGAAAGAGCACAGGCTTTGTTAAGAAGGTCAATAAGAATCAAAGTACAAAATGTGTCATGAAAGCTTTTTAACTGTTTCTTAATGGCAAGAGTCCTAGAATGCTTTTCTTCCATTAAAATAAAAAGAAAGAGAAGTAGGAAGAAATGAAAGAAAGCGAAGGGAAGAGAAGGGAAAAGTTTTCAGTCTTCGGAAGATACCCAAGATAGATCGCAACTCTTTCTTAGCAAATAGAATGAAGTTATATTTTAAAGTATTTTGATGATAATTTTGAAAGTGTTTAGAGATAGTAACAGTGGTTCTTAGTGGAAAAAAAAGATAGCATCAGACAACACATTTGGTGGTTTGTGTGTCTTTTGCTTATGATCTCTAAAAGTATCAACTTGACATAAAATAACTGGACATAAATTAATTCTTCTTTAAATTATTATCTTTAAAAAAAACCCAGTAAAATATCCTAACACTCCACTAAGAAAAACTTTAGTTCTATCATATCAATTTTATCTAACATGAACTTTTGAGTTCTAACATAACATTAACTCATAGTTAGTTCTAAAAAGAAATCAGTTGTATTAAAACTTGTCAGTGTGGAGATCTACAAGATTATCAAATGCCATATTTATAGTAAAAGTGAATTGTTTTGATTAAAACATTCAAGACCAGGAATAGCTTCTTTAATTTTCAATGCTTTTTCTTGCTTGTAAACACGGTAATACAATACATGAATCCTGTAGTTGGGACCCATAATATATTAAGCTCATCGTTGGTGCCTGAATAGTGAGATGAATGTCTTCGTTTGTGTCTTAAGGAATCCGTGGCAGTGAAATGCTCACATGGAAAAGGATTTTCCCGACCTGCTAGACCAGCAAATCGCCGTCTCCCATCCAGGTGGGCATCCAGATCTCCATCGGCACCCCCTGCCTTGCGGAGAACTGTCCACAACTTTCCCATTTCTCTGCGATCAGAAGCATCGATGGTCTGAGTCTCTGGCCTGGATTGCTGGATTACAAAAGTCCCAGTTGCCAAACAGAGTATTCTGAGTGTTTACAACCAATTCTGTCTCTTCTGTATTTTTCAAGATTACTGGGACAATTGAAATCTTAACTTCCCATCAGTCTTCAGTGTTTTTAATCTATGGAACAATTATCCTCCTGTATTTTGATTTTTTAGATCAGAATTTTTTAATGCCATCCTCATTAATTTGCCAATATGATTTAAGTTGAAACAATGTACTATATTGTATATTCCAACTTTCTTGCAAGTGGCAGAAAGCAAGGTTATTTGCATGGCCGTGTGTTTTGTAGGTGCATGTGTTGATATAGGAAGTATCAGTATGTATTTAGATAAGAAAAACTTATGTGCTAGTGTTGACTTTGAAATTATAACATGTATACCTATATATTCTTTGTGTTTATTTAAAATTTTTAAAAATATACAGTATTATTTATATTTTTTATACCTTTTAATAGGTATCCACTTAAGGCTCTTGAGGTACCTATATTAACTAACCACTTCCTTGGTCTCAACTACATACAAAACTAATTATACATATATCTAACGTTAGTAGATTTCTACAGACGACTCATAGTTCCTTAACCCGTATAAAGATAGACTAATACCATTGATCTCCTTGTTTACTCTTTTAAATAAATAAAAGTGTCACAGGTTTAAACAGATTAGCCTTCTAAAGCAAACATAAAATGTTCACAAAAGCTTTGATATATCATTCAGCAGTCTATTGCGGCTTTCCCTGTATACTTGATCCTCAGAGCCAGCATCCTAAGACTGCTTTATAAACGACGTGACTAAACCATGAATTCATTTTGGCAACTTCAGTAACAAAATACCTTAAATAGGATATAAAAAGAAATTCAATTATGCTGAATTCTACTCTTTGGTAAAATTATAGTAAATTTTTGTTCAGCTACTTTATTTGGAGTCCTACATATTGAGAGGTAAGTTATTCACTTTTTCCTTTTTCTAACCTTTCCCCTAAAATTAGTAGATAAGAGACTAATTCAATTTTTTATTAACAAAGAAAATCAGGAATGATATTTCATTGAGAGCTGAATTATATTTCTTATAGTGTACTACATTAAAAAAGCCTTAAACTAACCTTTGGCATCCATGGGGCAGCATAAGGGGCAGAAACTTTTTTGGGGCCACAGTCCATGAACAGTGAGCATATTATATCTATATTGAGAACTGACAGAAATATGAATGTTGAGGTGCTTGGAATTCTACATGAAAGATCTTAGAAGCAACTTTGCTCTCCATTGTCTCTATGTAAAACCAGCTACATTATTAGACAGTAATTCTATTTAAGCTTTTCTTTTACTAGCAAAAAGGTTAAGGAATTCTTATGGCAAAAGTATTCAAAGAACCTTCTCCTTGTGATACATTCTAACAATTTAGAGAGATTCACTTCATTATACCATGACTTGAGGTAAAGTAATTAATTTTCAAATCCCAGACTGCCTTAAAGGCTCAAGACTGTTGCATGGTGATGGACAGATTCATACTTACCAATAGGAGAGCTTCCAGGAGTTGAGCAGAATTAAACTTCTAGAATGTGAGGTTGGAGCAGATGATAAGTAAAGGCTATAGATCCAGTCTTTTAATTCTTGTTTCTTTCAGGAATATCCTTTTCCATAGGAAGACTATCAGAGAAAAGTAACCTGGACGTCAAATGATGTCACTCATATAATATGCTTTTCATCTAGAAGGGAGAAAACACTGGGGAGGTGGTAGCCTATGGCATAAAATGATGGACCTGGTAGGAAGATTCTGCTGTGTAACACTGGAGAGCCTGCCCAAGGGCTGTGTGACACAGCTGCTCCTCTCCTTCACTGCATTCCAGGTAGTCTGATGTGGATCTGTGGTTCCTAACTTGAATTACAAGTCAGAATATTGAAGATTGTTTTTTAAATTAGATCCTGACCTCACCCCATAATTACTAAAGAGAATTTCCAAGGGTGGGGAGGGAATCTTGAGTCCTTAATGAAACAAAGCAAAATATTTGATGATTAGGGAGATTTGGAAGCAGTGACATTGATTCATACCCCAGTGGATGGGCACCATTGGGTAGTCATGTTACTTCTCTGGAACTTGCCTTTGTTATCTGTAAATTAAAAGGGTAATATTGTCAGGCATCACAATCTTATGCCACTTGTTCTAACCATTTGAATGAAAGAGGGGAACACGTTTTAACATCTTGTGTTGACAAAAATCATAGAATATTAGAGCTGAAAAAAACTTAGCATCTAGTCCAACTCCTTGATTGTAAAGACGGAAAAACTAAAACAAAGATTATTTGAATGTTCTGTTTTCTCTCTTTAAATATTTTACAATTTTTATGGAAAAACCTACGAGTTAAATGGAAATTATCCTTGAAAATACATGTTTGATGTATCGTGATTTTTAACCAGTAGTTTTTCTACTTTGGATGGACACTTTCTTCCCAACATACCCTTTATTATGCCATCATTGCTGGATTTAAGGGATTTGTAAACATTTCAGGAGCACTTGATTAGAAGTTTCCCCTGGCAGACTTTTTGGGGGTGGGATATCTTATATTATTTCAATAGAGGGTTATTGATATTATAGGTTGATCTCAGAAAGGAATAAGAATGAGGCAGAGAAGAGTGCTTGAGTTTCTGTGGGTGTGCGTGTGTGCACATGCGTGCACAACCCTTGCCCGAGTTCTCCATATTCCCTTATGCCCGAAGCCAAATATAAATGATGTTGCATAATTCATTTTATCAAAAATTATCTGTAACTTTCATTTATTTTTACATAGACAACGAAGATGATGAGATATTAACATGCACAAAACGTGATTTACCTCTACATAGAGGATTTAGCCAGACTCCATGTCATCCTGAGAAAACATCTGGACCTAAAAAAGGAGAATCTGCTTTCCTACAAAGATTTTTTTAATTATTTTGAGGCACACTTGCTGACAAACAACTACTTGATAATAAAATCTCTTCAGTCATTGGAAGCTATCAAGTAAAATGGGTGGGGAAACACTTGCTGTGGTATCGGTATACGTGAGGAACATTTTTATTTTCCTCCTTTTCTGGTGAAACTCCAGCTGAGAGTTTTTTAAAGTCTAAATTCAAATATGTACACAGTTCAACCTAGCTTCTCCTAAAATGTTTCTAGATAGTAGAGTCTAAAGACAAAGCCTGCCTGATTCCTACACCTGGCCGTAGGACAACACATCTAGTTTCTCATGTACTGACACCATTTTCTGCCCATTTTTCTGCTTATTGAATCCGATTAAGTTTTGTTTGAAAAAGGAATACTCCTCTGAAATTTTCTTTTACATGATGAAATTAGTTAAATTAATTTTAGGCATATTACAATTTCTAATATAGTACGATTTTACTTCAAATTCTGCACATTTCTTCTTAAATAACAAGTACCTTTATCAGAATCTAGAACCATGACTTACTCATTTTACTATAGCTCAGAATATATGCTCCTTCAAAAAATGAGCTTCGTGAAGCAAAAAAATCAAAGCAAAGAAAAAAACTTGGGGGAGGAGTTTTAAGGCAAGTGTCTACTCAACATTTTTTCATCTTTGTCTCAGTGGGAAAAAAAATCATAAGACTTAAAATCCGACATATATTACAATGATCTCATGAATCCAACAGGTAAGACCAGCAAATTCTGAAAAAAAAAAATTCTGCTTATATGAAGCTGTGATGGAGTCTAGAAATGAGAGAAGAATCTAGAATAGGAAGGACCTTAGAAACCACACAGAGCATTCTCATCTAGAGGAGAGAAACCCGAAACTTGGAGAGGTCTCCATGGCTGCCAGGGTTATAGGGCCAGGAACCCAGCCAGATACAAACACCAGTGGTTTGCCTCCTTGTACACCCGTGTGCATCTGGGACTTGATGGTTTTCAAAGCACATTCATATGCCTTGACTTATTTACTTCTTAACAACAAGCTTCAAGGCAGCCATTGTGATTTCTCATTACAGAAGGAAAAATTAAATAGCCAAGATAATAGAATAAATATTTCCCAAGATAATGTTTAGAAATAAGTAGGTGGCTCTTCGACTCTTAGTTCAGGTTCTTTTCCCAAAGAAGAGAAGAGGAAGGCAAAGAGTGAATAGTTCCTTTTCACTTATGTTTTATGCATGACAATGGAATTGTTTATTTTGCTTTCATTGAGAATTTCTCTTAATTTTTTTATTAACATCTTTATCAGAGTATAATTGCTTTACAAGGGTGTGTTAGTTTCAGCTTCATAACAAAGTGAATCAGCTATACATATACATATATCCCCATATCTCCTCCTTCTTGCGTTTCCCTCCCACCTTCCCTATCCCACCCCTCTAGGTGTTCACAAAGCACCGAGCTGATCTCCCTGTGCTATGCGGCTACTTCCCACTAGCTAGCTATTTTATATTTGGTAGTGTATATATTTCCATGCCCGTCTCTCACTTTGTCCCAGCTTCCCCTTCCCCCTCCCCGTGTCCTCAAGTCCATTCTCTACTTCTGCACCTTTATTCTGATCCTGCCCCTAGGTTCTTCAGAACCATTTTTGTTTGCTTGTTAGATTCTACATATATGTGTTAGCATACGGTATTTGTTTTTCTCTTTCTGACTTAATTCACTCTGTATGACAGTCTCTAGGTCCATCCACATCACTACAAATAACTCAGTTTCATTTCTTTTTATGGCTGAGTAATATTCCATTGTATATATGTGCCACACCTTCTTTATCCATTCATCTGT